AAATATAATAAAATTATGTTTGAATTTATTGTTGATAAATATTATGTTAAATCTCAGGTTTCTGAGCTTACTCTTGTTGAAGGCTACATTGAATAAATTGGCTTATATTTCTTCCCACAATTGGTAGTGGAGCCTTCAAGGATATCCTCTCTAAGTGATAATGGTATTTATCCCTTGCACACAACTCCCAATTCAACCTTTTGTTCTGTTGTTTCTGATGTAAATAAACCTAGAACTGGCTTATGGAACTATAGGCTAAATCATGCTCATTTTCCTGCTATTAAGCTTGCTTTAAAACACTGTAATATCAATGTCTCCAATAATGAAATATTATGTTTTGTAAATCTTATTGTTTGGGAAAGATTTCATAGAATACATGTTCCATTATTATCCATTATGTATACTGCTTCCTTTGAATTTATGCACACTAATCTTTAGTGCCCTGCACCCCATCCATTTAGTTTAAATTATTATTACTACATTGCTTTTATGGATGCCTACATAAAGTACACATGGATCTATTTCTTGCAACATAATTCAGAGACTTTGCATGCCTTCGAACTTTTTCTTAGCTTTGTAAAAACTCAGTTTAACATCACTATCAAGAAATTACAATCATATTATGGGGGAGAGTTTTGATCATTCACTAAGTACCTCTTTGAATTAGGTACCTCACATATATTTACTTGCCCCCACACCTATCATCAAAATGGAATTCTTGAAAGAAAACATAAACATATTGTGGAAGTGGGGCTTACATTGTTATCTCACTCATCAATTCCCCTCAAATTTTGGGACCATAGATTAGCTACCTTTGTGCACATTATCAATAGGCTCCCAAATGTTGGCTTGACCAAGTTCCACTCCCTTTATCATGTCTTATATCATAAGATACCTAGCTATACCAATCTATTAAAGTATTTGGTTGTACATGTTTTCCTTTCACAAGACCATATAACAAGCACAAGCTAGAATTTACAAGTCAAGAGTGTGTGTAACTAGGAGTCTCATCTCAACACAAAGGTTTCGAGTGTCTTAGAAAATCTGGGACCAAAGATGTAGTATTTCATGAGCACTACTTTCCTTTTCCTAACATGTTTCAGTCTAATCTCATCTCTTCATGTTAGCCTAAATGCCAGTCCAAGTTCTTACTTTTCCTCAATTGTTCTCTCACCAAACACCCAATACAACTGTTACAAAACTAATAAACAATGTCTCTTCTCCTTAAGTTGTCCAGTCTCTAATTGATAGGCCAAATCCTAATTCATACTTTATACATGAACATAGCTTACCTTAGAGTACCTCAAGCACTCCTACTCAACTGTCTCAATTTAACACTACGTCCACTCATTCATATATTGTCCATGAAAGTCCAACTATTGATAGGACTATCTCTACACCCTTAACCATTGGTCCAGGACCACAAATCCCTTCTAATACCAACTGGTATAAGAAGTATCTCTCACCATCCATACATATTTCCACACATATATAAGTCTTGCATATTAATGACCATCATATGTTGACAAAAGCCAAAACTGGTCATTCCAAGCCAAAAAAAATCCTTCCTCGCACATGTAGAACCTCAATTTGTCAAACAAGTTCTTTCTCAACCTGAGTGGCATCAAGCTATACTACTAAAATATGATGCTCTTTTAGCCAATTAATCAAACATGGACTTTGGCAACTTTCCCACCTTATAAGAACTTGTTGGGAGCAAATGGGTCTTCAAGGTTAAAGAGAACCTTAATGGCACAATGAATAAATACAGATCCAAACTTGTAGCCAAAGGCTATCAACAACAATTTGACTTTGATCTTAATGAAACATTTTCTCTAGTTGTGAAGCCTACCACAGTTAGAATGGTTATCACTCTTTCCCTGACCAACATGTGAGATTTTCAACAAATTAACATCAATAATTCTTTTTTCTAAATGACTTTCTTCGTGAAGAGATATATATGTCCCAACCCTGGATTTGAAAAGTAAGACTCCATTTTGGTCTACAAGTTGAATAAAGTTGTATATGGGCTTAAGCAAGTTCCAAAGGCTTGGTATGAGAAGTTGGCTTAGGAATTAATTTAGTCTGGTTTCTTTCATACCAGATGCGACCATTATCTATTTGTTTACTCACATTAAGGCCTTACCATGTATGTTTTCGTCTATGTTGATGCCATTTTTATCACAAATTCCTCTTTTATCCTAATCCACAAGTTAATTGATCCTCTCCATGTTACATTTGCTCTCAAAAATCTTGGTAAGTATGAGTACTTTTTAGGCATTAAAGTCAAACATCTATCAATTGGTTATATGCTCCTTACGTTGACCAAATATATTCCAGATCTACTAACTCGAGGCAAGATGTGTAATACAAATGGTGTTACTACTTTTACACTAAGCAATTTCAAGCTTAGCAAACATTGTTCTTAACTCTCATATCCTCATCAATATAAACCCATGACTGAGGCCTTACAATATGTGACTCTTACAAGACTTGACATTGTTTTTAGTGTGAATAAAGTCTATCAATTCATGGCATCTCCTTTAGAGTTTCATCGGTCCGCTATAAAAAGAATTAGGTGTTATATAAATGGCACCATTACACACAGTTTACTCCTTTCTTCAGCTTCGTTGCTACAAAAATTCTCTCGAAGGGCTTATAGTGACTCGTATTAGGCAAGTGATCTAAATGATCAACATTCTACATCTAATTCATGCATCTTCTTAGTGTCTCAGAGCTATAAAAGAAACCTCTTGTTATTAGATCAAGCAATGAGGCAGAATACCGTGTTTTGGCTCACACCACTTCAGAACTACTTTGGTTGGAATCCTTCCTCATTGAGTTTGACATGACATTCCTTTTTCATACTCTCCTTTGTGATAATTTTGGTGTAGTGCTCTTTTGTCACACAATCTCATCCTTCATGCTAGGGCAAAGCATATTGAGTTAGACAACCATTTTGTTTGTGAGAGAGTTATAACCAAGAGGATGGAGATCTAACATGTCCATAGGAGTGTGCAAGTTACACACCCTCATTAAGCTCATTGGCACAACCACTTTCACAAATCTTCGCACCAAACTCAAAATCATAACTTACACCGCTCTTTGAACTTGTGGGAAAATATTAGAAGAGTAATATAAGATAGACATTTTTATGTCTAATATGAAGAGATTACACCATATATATATATATATATATATATATATATATATATATATATATATATATATATATATATATATATATATATATATATATATATATATATATATATATATATATATATATATATATATATATATATATATATATATATATATATATATATATATATATATATATATATATATATATATATATATATATATATATATATATATAAAGAATATAAATGTAGATCACCATACATATAATATGTGAATAGAAAAGTTGCATAATGACATGAACACTCGATACATGAACATAATATACTAGAGCTTTTATAAATATGAGTACATCATGGTTATGTAAGAGTTTTAAGTCATTAAACATAATGCAATGTAACAATGAAGTTCACATTTTTTTCCCCACTGTCTATTGAAATTAATCATATGCATATATTGTATGAAGCATGAACAAATCATTAACCTTAAAATTTATTTCTTAAAAATTATTTATATAGACATTATATGTTTTAAATCATTTTATATAATTATATTAAAAAACTTATAATAACATAATTTATTTTTAATTTAATTTTGAGAAGAAACAATGATTATAGTAGCATTTTTAGTCGATAGAAGTTAAAAAGCGTGCGAAGAAATTATAAACTATTAGAAAAAGCGTGGGAAAAAAGTAACAAGATGGTAGCCATTATTATTATTATTATTACTTTTATTATCAGAAAAGAAAGAATGAAGAAACAGAGAGACAGTAATATACTCAATCGTTACTCTCATCTTCTTCTTCTCTCTTTCTCTTCCTAGGGTTGCACTTTTAGAGAGAGAATGGATTGAAAAATCTCAATTCTCTCTATTTTCCATCATATATTCAGGTAACTCTTCGTTTATTTCACTCTCTTTCGTTTTTTTCAGTTCATTTTATCGTTATCACCTTGGATCAGCTTTATTTTCTTCATCGCTTGATTGTTGCACATGAATTCCGCTGTGTTCTGTATTTTTTTCATTTTTATGGTTTTTAGTTTTCTGACTTTATTTGTTATGAATTCTGGAGGTTGATTTTGGTTGTATTATTGTAACTTTTGATGAGAGATTACTTGAGGATTTGGGGTAGGTTTTTTGATATTTGATTTTAAAATTAGGGAACTTAGGTTGAAAATTTGAGTTTGTGCTTTGATTGTACTCCGAGCTTACCTTTTTAGGAAGGTGTCTGTAGTCAACCATTTTTGGGTAAACAACCATTTTGGCATTTTGAGAGTAGAGTGTGAGGCGCTGTCACAACCTATCTAGCACCTGAAAAAAGTGTGTCTATGTGTCTGGTGAATGTAGCACCGACATCTCTGAAAAAATGCGTGTTTGTGGTGTTAGTGTATGTGTTCTGAATTGACACCGACATTTGTGATTATGTTTAATTTATTCATTTCTCAAATTATTAATAGTATCGACGTGTCAGGGTCGTTTTTCCGGTGTCTGTGCTTCATTGGTCACAACAACTCACAATAGTTCATGAATGTTTGAAATTATAAACACATCATCAAATGTATCTTTTGTTAATAATTTTATGGACTAAATTGACCTATGAATAATACATTCAAGAACAAAACTAGTAAAAAATAAAGACACTTTTAGGCATGTGTTTGTAATTTTGATACATTAAGGAACTATAGTGACATTGCCTCACACATTTAGGAACCAAAATGCCTGTTTAGTTTAACCTTTATTTTATGTATAATGTTAGGTTTAACTATAGGGTTTTTGATATTATTGCAATGATACTCATTTGGATGTTATATAAGTTGAACTTTGATTTTTATATCATTATTTTGTTCAGTTTCTTTGCTATGGAAGACAAAGATTCGGTTGCTAAAATGATGGACTCTACATCTTCAAAGATACAACAGCTGCAAAAGGCTTTTGCTGAACTTGAAAGTTACCGAGCTGTTACTCTTAACATGAAATGGAAAGAGTTAGAGGAACATTTTCATGGGCTGGAGAAATCCTTGAAGAGGCGCTTTCATGAACTTGAAGACCAAGAAAAAGTATTTGAAAACAAAACAAGGAAAGCTCGTGAAATGTTGGATAAACAGGAAGCGGCTGCTTTTGCAAAGGAGCAAGCCTCGCTGCAGAGTCTACAAGAGAAAAGAGATGTTGCTGTATTCACCATTGTAAATGCCCGAGAAAAATACAGGAAGGTTTCATCAAAGGATTTGGGTATTGTCTTTAACGGGATTCAAGGCTCACCAAGTGTCGAGGAGAAACCTGAGGATGTTGTGTCCACTGGGGGTGAAGCTAACTTAGAAAATCTGAAACATTCTCCTGAAAATGGAAATGTGGACATGATGTCTTATCCAGAGTTGGTAAAACTATGCAAAGAGATAGATTCAGCTGGACTTCACAAATTTATATCTGATAATCGCAAGAACCTTGTTGCTGTAAGGGAGGAAATACCACTTGCATTAAAAGCTGCTCCTAATGCTGCCCGTCTAGTTTTAGATTGTTTGGAAGGGTTTTATTCCACTGAAGTGTCAAATCAGGATATAAAGAAGGATGCTAACTTGTTGGGTCTTCGCCGAACCAGTATCATGCTGCTGGAGTGTCTAAGTGATTTCCTAACTGAATTGGGTTCTGATTCTAATGTGGTTTCTGAAGATGTCAAGGATAGAGCAAAAGCAGTTGCTGAAGAGTGGAAACCAAGATTGGATACTCTTGACATTGATGCTAGCAATGGGAATTCCTTGGAGGCTCATGCATTTTTGCAACTTCTAGCCAGTTTTGGTATTGCCTCTGATTTTAACGAGGAGGAATTATCCAGGCTAATTCCAATGGTATCTCGGCGTCGCCAAACTGCTGATTTATGCCGGTGCCTTGGGTTGTCGGAGAAGATGCCTGGTGTGAACTGGCTCTCTTATTTTTATAATGTTTAATTTCATGCACTAAATATTTTCTAATTATCTCATGTTCATTTTTGTTTTTCTTTAAGTATGTTTTTGGATTCACATTATGATAAAGTTGTTTTCTTAGGCTTCTTTAAATATTTTTCGGTTTAATATAAATTGAAACGATTCATTTCACTTTTGATGTGCAGGTGTGATTGAAGTTTTAGTAAACAGTGGGCGGCAAATTGATGCGGTTAACTTGGCTTTTGCATTTGATCTTACAGAACAATTTTCACCTATTCCTTTGCTGAAGTCTTATCTGAATGATGCTAAGAAAACTTCTACTCCAGTCAAGAGTGTAAACTCATCTTCCACTGCACAGGTAAGTTTTTCAGTGTCTACTATATTAATTGACCATTCCTTGTGTTGTTTTCTTTTAATGATTTGAACAAGTGCTATGAACTAGTATTGTATAGTTCTTCTGACTTTTACATCTTTGATTAAGTTTGTCGGTTGTCTAATATTGTTGTTAGATATTAAGGTTTTTTAGTTGCAAATGATTGACTGTATTATAATTTTTTTAGAATATTGTGGGAATGTATTGTCAGATCAGATGCTATACTTATTGAGAAACAATCTCAGGAGCTATTTCCTAATTATAATATCTTTCTACTCCACCGTGGTTAACTTAACTTGCACATGTTAAGATTTTGCAACAGTGCTGTGCTACAATTTGGCATGGATGAAACCATTCATGCGTTTTCTAATGTGGATGTAAAACCATGCATGAGTTTTCGCCTAACAATTAAGTTTTTGAAGAATTGGTTCATGCCATGGTATTGAAGCTTTTATGACCAAGTGGGCTAGAGTTTGATTCTTATCAACCCCATTCTTTTATGTAAAAGTTGAACTCAACACAAGGTAGATAGATTTATGCAATGTTTGTCTGTCAACCTCAAAGGTCTCTTTTGTGAGAGGGCTAAATAGATAAAAAAATAAAACCATATTCGCGGGGACTTGCCTAACAATTGACAACATCAACCTTTGAGGGAGTTAATTCATGTCAAGTAAAACGTAGTATAGATAATGTAAGCTTTTGGAGAAGTAAAATCCAGTTTATGAAATGTATGTTTAGCAGGAGGTATGCTAATTCTACCTTAGAGATGAAAATTGGATAACTTACCACATCACAAGTTGTGTGTAGTTTAAGTATTTTGGGTCAATCATGCCAAAGGATGAGGAATAGTAGATGCAAATCACAGAATTCAAGCAGAAATGTCAAGACATAATTTGTGATGAAAAGGCGCCCCACTCAAACTTAAAAGAGAATTTTAACACACAGTGATAAGACTTGTATCGTTGTATAGGATTGGATGTTCAGCGATAAGAAGCTGGCCTACAAGATAGCCAATTCAGTTAGTATGAGAATGCTCTGAAGGATGAATGGTTAACACAATATAGGGTTAAGAATAAACCATTAGAGAGAAATTTGGGGTAGTACATATTATGGATAAGTTGATAGGGTCTTCTTGTCTTGGGTAGTTTGGACATGGGTATAGGACACCTATAGATTAGAAGTAGGATAATCCATTAATAAGATATAGAGGAAGGGGAAACCTATAGGCCAAATCATTAGGAAGGATTTGGAATTTTATAATTATTCAAAATAAACATTATGACACCTGTTGATCTTTGTGTCAACGTCACCTAATAGGAAAAAAACCTTGGTTGTGGTTGTATGATCTCATTCTCCATACTCTGAATTCATTTTTCTCTGCCATAATGAAGTTCATTTTTTATCAAAAGTAAAGTGACATTGCATTTGTTAAAGAAGAGAGGAAGCCGTTCGCAACGAGCTAGCCTAGTTTCACTAATTTGCATCATAAAGTCTATGATTTGTAATCTGACTCGGATTTCTTTGCTTTAAGCTGAGTTCCTATGCTTATATTATGGGTTTCTCGAAGATACTGTGGGTGCACTAGAGAGAAAACTTAATTGTCATATCACCGTATTGAACACAAAAATCATGCATAGTACTGCAATAGACTTACTGGCCCCAGAGACCAAAGTCTCCTACAGATGGTATTCTCTGACCACAATAGAGCTTAACATCACATACATGATGCTCACCCTACTATCACATATACTGCCAACAATAACGTTTGCAATCATAACTGCCATTTAGTAGTTCTACCCACTAGTTATTTCCCAATCTAACTGCCAGATGGCAGTTATTTCTGCTGTTTTTATGCGGTCTAGTATACTTCTTTCAACTGGGTGGTTTGGCTGTCTCTCAGATTCCCTCGCAGGGACTAACAAAAGCTCTATGCTGGTATGAGTAGTGGCTTCTGTGGCTGTGGGGACGGTTGATGAATCTGATGATTATGTAGATAACATAAGTTGTTTACTAGTACCTGTTGTATGGCCATCAGAAAAAGGTGGAAGGCATTCTCTATCATTTATCATCTTGGATTACCTTAAGAATGTGTCCAATGCTTTTGTAGTATAAGAGCACATATTTGGTATTTCCATTGTGTCCCTCTTTATCTTTATGCTCCAAAATAACTAGAATGAAACGTATCTTCAATATTCATCTTGATGTTTGATTATGGAAATCTGTTTGTATGTGTGTGTGAATATTCCTAATAATTTTCTATTTGTTTCAGATTGAGGTTAATGAAAGAGAGCTGGTTGCTCTTAAGTCCGTTATCAAATGCATTGAAGAACATAAACTTGATGAGCATTATCCTATGGATCCTCTCCAGAAACTAGTTATCCAACTAGAGAAGGCCAAGGCCGACAAGAAGCGAGAAACTGAAGTAACAAAACCTCAACCAAAGAGGCCTCGTGCTAATGGTGTGGGATATGGTCCTCGTGTCACTATCGTTCCTTCTGACAAAACCTCCTATACTAGAGTTGCTGACAGGTACCCTCAATATGTCTATAACCAATCTTATATGTACCCTGGCCCAACTGAAAATCACTGCACCCCTTTTCTAAGTTCGGCAACCTATAATGTCTCTCCTAATCCTGGAAATTACTTCGGAAATGGTTACCAGTATCAAGCTACATATCTCCACTAATTGGCAGTGATGGTGAACAGATAATTATGGCCCCTTTTAATATTTAGTCTCAAGTCTTAACCCTTAAGCTGTTAGCTGTTTTATGTTGTACTTTATAAATGTAATCTGCAAAAAAAACCCTTAAACATGTGAAATGTCATGTTAAAATTAACTTCGGTGCTAAAAGATATTCTGTTATCCTTTTGTACAAGCTTACTTTGTTTGTACTTACAGTATATTTTTCCTCTTTAATATGCAACTGTCAATGCTTTTAAATAATTTGATTAAATTGAGGAACTCTTGAACACCATTTTCATCTGCATGAATTTTTTCCTCCTTTTTTGTGGGGTAAGCGTGTGGTATTCTTGCAAACCTAGGCCGGATTTTTACAAATGAAATTTGAAAAACGTGATGTGGTTGGTTGAGGTGAGAAAGTGTTGTTTTCGGATTTGAAAAATTGGACTTGGCACAAGGAAATTATTCGCCGTACTGTCAAATTATACAAAGCAGTCCATTTACGACGACAGGATAAAACAGCCCGTTCAAAAAAAAGTAACTATTATCAGTTGCACACTGATAAATTTTTCTAGAAATACACCTTTCTAAATTAGTATCTGGCGCAAATAACAAGAAAAAAAATTGTAGATGAAGAGAATAAAGGGAGAGAAGAAGGAAATCAAAATTCATGTGAATTTGTGAAATCCGATGTGCTCACTACTGTGAATTTCTACCCTGTATTTATAGGCAGCTACCTGCACCTGAGTGGGGAGAAATTCGTGGTGAGTGGAGAAAATAGTGAGAGAATGAGAAATTCGTATAGGACTGGATCTAACACTGACCAATTATTTTCTTAATTAATTAATATTTATTATTAATTAATTTTCCACCGAATTATATTAATTAATTAATGATAATTAAATTATATAAATTCGGGTCTAAAAAATAATTCATCTAGACAGGACCGAGCCGGACGGACGGCGGCGGCGCGCGTCTGGTTGGTCATGGGTATGTCCTCACTCCTTTCACAAAATTAGGCAGGACCCAACCCAATAAACAAAGTTGGAATATATAAACACTACTAATATTTTCATTCTCTTTAATGTGGGACTAAAATGAATCTTTTCAAATTCACTTTTATATTAGTTCTTAAATGTGTTCATTTATTGTTCATTAATTGTCAATAAATCTTTCCAATTTCAATAAAATTCCAACAGAAAGTCACAATTTTCATATGGATTTGCTGAATGAGTGTAGAAAGTGTTGGATATTTGCTCCCTTTGTATGTGGAAAAACATTCAAATATCTTAGTTTATTGTGGAAAAGATCATTCTGGATATGTTAACCAATCTAAATTAGTGTTATACTTTGACCGTTCGGATAGTAAAAATAAGGTCAGAGTAGAGAGATGTTATCTTTGCAATACATTAGATTTTTTGAGTATTTTTTGCCTTCTCATTTCTTAAATCGAAGTTTTTGTGTTTTGTTGTTTTGATTGATCGGGGACAGTATATATGTATTATTTTAATACTGTCTCATAATCTTATTTGATCGTATTGTAGTTATTTTTTAGTCTGTAAGCACATTATTTTAGATTGATTTGAATTTCTTTACATATCTTGTTTTAATAGCTCGTACAAGTCATGAATCATTAAATAAAATATTATTTTCTTTAAATTTTTCAAAAATTGCTTGTCTTATTAAAAACCACCAATAAACTTTTAATTAAAAACGACCAATAAACCTATAGGCCGGAGAGAAAAAGGGCTTACGTAGGGAAAAAAGACAAAAAAGTTTGTTAAGTATATCAAATTAAAGGCTCTCGTCAATGTATACTCTCATTACTTGTTTTTTGATACTGAAAGAAAAAAAACTCATATAATAAAAAACTTGTTGATAACATTTTATATTACGACGAATGAGCTATATGATTCACTTGTCTCCTAGTAATAAATTTAAAGATTAAATATACACGGAGTCTCTCTAAATTCAATTTTTTTCAAATAATAGTCTTTCTCTAACTGAAGCACGAATTATTTATGTCACGTTACTTTAAAAGAACATCATATTTGATCATAAGAAAATATGTTAGATTGCATGGGTATAAATCTCCATAAGTTTATTCTGTGAATCAGCCACTTTTTATAAGGTTCCAGCTAAAAAAAACTTAATTTGACTTAATTCAAACTTTGTAAATACGTCACTTACTACCATTATGATTTTCGATCATGAATTGTATAATTTAAAACTTAAAATTGTTGGATTTTACGGTTATGGAATAAGTTAATCGAACAATTTTATTAGCGTTCACTTCTCAATTATTGTCTGTCATCTGTTTATTATAATGCATATATTTGTCATTAGCGTCAGTTGCTTCTGCAATCTCATTCTTAACAAATATAAGATTCGAACAACTACATTCTATGGTGTTAACTACATTTTTGGTGTTTGTTCAATGACAATCTTGTTCAACATTAGAATATCATTAATACTACTCGTTATAACGGTTGAGTATAGTAAGTGTGAGTAGTATGAATAATAGTCTCATATTTATTAGAAATGTGGAGACTTGAACATTTATAAGTGCGAGAATCCATATATATATCATCTTAAAGTTTTGTGTGAATATGTGGTGTGTCTCTCACAAAAATTTTACTCTAAAGTTTTGAGTGTATAATTGATATGTCTCTCGTAAATTGTGAAAATGAATCGGAACCATTAGATTTTAAAATAAATCGTGGAAATTATGTGTTATTTTTTTCCTCTCATCTATTATTAAAATAAACGATGGAGGAGAGAGAAAATAAATGACATATAATCTCTACAATTTATTTTAAAATTTAATGGTTCAAGTTTATTCTCATATTCTTACATAAAAATGACATTCTCGTATAATACATTTTATATATATATATATATATATATATATATATATATATATATATATATATATATATATATATATATATATATATATATATATATATATATATATATATATATAAAAGATTAATTATTATGCTCAGTGTAAAAAATTTTACACCATCAATGTGTCAAATTGTTTACTTTATAAATGATTAAAATAAAAGTCAAACTCTTTTGAATATTTCAATAATTATTAATAACTGACAATATAATATATATATATATATATATATATATATATATATATATATATATATATATATATATATATATATATATATATATATATATATATATATATATATATATATATATATATATATATATAAAAGAATTTAATTGATATGATTTGACATTTAATAAAAATTTATCAATTTATGATATATATCATTATCTTAAATTTTACAATTTGACATAATATATGAGAATGAATGGTTGGAATTTTTTACCCAAATAACCATGGTTTCACACCATATATTCCAAACTACCCAACATTTCATCATATATTACAAACTAACCAACTTTCACGTTTTTTTTTAAATAATTAGGGGGTGTCATTGATGTTGACTCCTCCCTTATAAATTATAGGGGGTCGCCATCCAGGTTGGAGGCACCCTATAATTTATAAATGGGGCGCCATCTCCTTTGCCTCCTCCCTTAAATTCGAATTTTGAAAATATTTTTAAATATATGTTAAATTTAAAAATATTTAATAAATAATATTTAATAATTAAAAATATTTAAAAAATAATAATTTTATAAATAATAATTTTTGAATAATTTTTATATATTTAACAATTAATAAATAATTAATAATTAATAATTTCATTAATAAATTCCAAATAATAAATAAAAATTATTCACAAATAATAATCTCAGTTGTATCTTAATAGGGTTATTTTTATGTCCGAATACAAGTGGTAACGTTGTTCACTCTATCTCTGTACTTAGCTTTATTAGATGATATAGATAAAATAAAAACATATAATTGGGGGTTCGCTACACTAACGCACCTATTTCGGTATTTGTGTAACAATGTAATAGTAAATTCGAAAATTTATTTATTATTTGGAATTTATTAATGAAATTATTAATCACTAATTATTTATTAATTGTTAAATATATAAAAATTATTCAGAAATTATTATTTATAAAATTATTATTTTTTAAATATTTTTAATTATTAAATATTATTTATTAAATATTTTTAAATTTAATATATATTTAAAATTATTTTTAAAATTCGGATTTAAGGGAGGAGGCAAAGGGGATGACGCCCCCTTTATAAATTATAGAGTGCCTCCAACCTGGACGACGTCCCCTTTAATTTAGGGAGGAAGCAAGGCTAATGGCGCTCCCGTGTAATTTTAAAAAAAAACTCAAAGTTGATTAGATTGATAAATATGATGAGAAGTTGGGTATAATGAAAATTAAGGGAGAAAATTATGGTTATTGGGGTGAAAAATTATGAATGGTTGAGCAAATTTTTTTGATATTAATTAGAGCAAAATTGAAATGAAATAGTATATCTAACTTTTTACTCAAAATAGGATAGTATAATAGCGTATGGTGGTTTGTTAAACATAGTAACAAGTCCCAAGAAGAATGTCTGTTTCTTATTTTTATCGAACATGACACACATCAACTCTGTAGCAGTTGGTACTGTCCGTAAACGGTGAAGACCAAAACGGAAACGGAACTTCACTAACCAAACATTTTTTAAATAAAGAAACAAGTGTGAAACAGAGTCAGCTTTTTGTGACTCTCTTTTACTCTATTTTATTTTTATTTAACAAACACCACACACACTCTCTCTCTCTCTCTCTCTCTCTCTTCCTTTTCTTCATCTTCTTCTTCATCTTTCTCTCTCATTTCTCTCTCTCTGATGTGAGGGTTGCACTGAGAATATGGATTGAGAACTCTCTCTCTTTCTCTCCCTCTCCTTCTCCCTCTCTTTGTTTTACAGTACTAGTTTCTTTCAGATCAATCAGGTAACTCTTCTTTACTATCACTTTTTTTTTCTCCATAGTTTTGTTTTCTTGCTGTCGGTTTAGATCGGATTTGTTTACTCCTATGCACACAGATTTTTCTTCACATGTTTCTTGTCTGATTTTCTCTTCCATACATTGTTCTCCAAATCTACACTTCTTATTGAACTACATAGTTTTCTTTTTTGTTTTTTTAATTTTGTTTTTTTTTGTTAGTATATTATGGAAATTCATTACTATGTGGTTATTTAAGTTTTTGGCTGTTTATTGTTGCTGTTTTTATTTTCATTTGCTTTTAGTTGAAGATGAGTTGAAATATTGTGCCGATTTTGCCCCTGTTCATTTTTTTAGGGTTTCAGTAATTGTAGTAGCTCTAAAGTTTTGGATCTAGATATCTTGTTTGGTAAGTATTTTACTAATTTTATTCTCGTTCGAAATATCAAGGCTTATTTATCTATTAGGCAAGTTATATAGAAATTGATGTTTCAAGATTTGGTGAAAGGTTTAATATGATGTCATAAATAGTGAAGGATAATGAGCTAGAATTAGATTCTTTCTTTTTTTATTACTTGTATATTATTGCATTAACATTATTGTTTGTGTTTGTACATTGATTTTTTGTTGCTAAATATGTAAACAAACTTTAAGATAGGATTGTTTTTGGTGCATTCATATGTAATATTTCCTTGATTCTTGCTTTAGAAAGTAAATAAGTGCAATTAAGCACTTTCTTTAAGTACTTGATGGTTGTATCTGACACGTTAGGCACGTCCTTTGTGTAAGAGTAAAGGACACAAAGGACATGCGCAACGTTCCAGATACAAACAAACACTATTGTGAGTTGAAGAAATTTATCCTATTTTAGGGAGTTATGATTTGCATATCGCAAATGTACGATATTTGTTGATAAGTATGCAGACTGCAGTGTATAGGATTAATCGTGGTTCATGCTTTCATAAGCTGAAGTTAAGTAATTGTTTCATTATTTTATCTTTTTCAGCTTCTTAGCAATGGAAGAAACAAACTCAGTTGCTACGCTGATGGATTCTACGTCTTCGAAGATACAACAGCTGCAGAAGGCGTTTGCTGAACTCGAAAGTTATCGAGCGGTTACTCTTAACATGAAATGGAAAGAACTGGAGGAACATTTTCACGGGCTGGAGAAATCCTTGAAGAGGCGCTTTCACGAATTAGAAGATCAAGAAAAAGTGTTTGAGAACAAAACGCTGAAAGCTCGTGAAATGTTGAAGAAGCAGGAAGCGGCTATTTTTGCCAAGGAGCAAGCCACATTGCAGAGGCTTCAAGAGAAAAGAGATGCTGCTACATTTGCGATTGTAAATGCTCGAGAAAAGCATAGGAAGGTTACCCAAAAAGATTTGGGCATTGTCTCCAATGGGGATCAATGTGCAATAGGTGCGGAGGAGAAACCGATGGATGCGGATGCTACTTCTAATGTGACGGAAGGTCACGTAGAAGATGTGAAAGTTTCTCGTGAAGATAGAAATGTGGAATTGATCTCTTATCCAGAATTGGTAAAACTTTGTAAAGAGATGGATGTTTCTGGACTTCACAAATTCATATCTGATAACCGTAAGAACCTTGCTGCTATAAGAGAGGAAATACCACTTGCGTTAAGAGCTTCTCCTAATGCTGCCTGTTTGGTGTTAGATTCTTTGGAAGGATTTTACTGCACGGAAGTGTCAAGTCAGGATATTAAGAAAGATGCGAACTTATTAGGTCTTCGCCGGACCTGTATTATGCTGATGGAGTGTCTGAGTGATTTCCTAACCGATTTGGGTTCTGTTTCTAATGTGATTTCCAAAGATATCAAGGATAGGGCAAAGGCAGTTGCTGAGGAGTGGAAACCAAGATTGGATGCGCTTGACATCGATGCTAGCAATGGGAATTCCTTGGAGGCTCATGCGTTTTTGCAACTCGTAGCTAGTTTTGATATTGCATCTGGTTTTGATGAGGAAGAGTTATCCAGGCTAATTCCAATGGTGTCTCGGCGTCGCCAAACTGCTGATTTATGCCGTTGCCTTGGATTATCAGAGAAGATGCCTGGTATGCATTTCTTCATTTATAATCTTTCGTTTCGATCTTAACTCTATGTTGCTGTTGCCTTTGTTTATCAGCTTTTTGCAAGGTGCATGCAAGATCTAACATTTGTATCAATTGTAGACCGAAAGCGATGAAGCAACCAAATAATTATTGCATCCGTTTGTTCTAATACAGGTGTAATTGAGGTTTTGGTGAACAGTGGGAGGCAAATTGACGCGGTTAACTTGGCTTTTGCATTCGATCTGACAAAGCAGTTTTCTCCTGTTTCATTTCTGAAATCTTATTTGAAGGATGCTAGAAATTCTTGCTCTCCTGTCAAAAGGGGTAACTCATCCCCCACCGCACAGGTTCGTCTTCGAGTCTATGCTATATGTTGAGTCATTATTCCCTTTGTTGTTTTCTTCTAATGGTTTGAATTAGTGCTCTGAAATATTGCCGAGTTTTTCCTCTTTATGTCCTTGGTACTATACTTACTCCGATTTCGTGTATCAGATTGAAGTTAGTGAACGAGAGCTGATTGCTCATAAAGCTGTAATCAAGTGCATTGAAGAACATAAACTCGAAGAGCAGTATCCTCTGGAACCTCTTTTGAAACGAGTTGTCCAACTAGAGAAGGCGAAAGCTGACAAAAAAAGGGAAACTGAAGCGACAAAGCCTCAACCAAAGAGACCTCGTGCTAACGGTGTAGGATATGGTCCTCGTGTCACTAACAACATCCCTTCTGACAAAACTTCCTATGCTAGAGTTGCTGCTGACAGGTATCCACAATATGTGTATGACCGACCTTACATGTACGCAGGACCAACCGAAAATCATTGTCCCCCTATCCTCGGCAATGCACATTATAACTTCTCTCATAATCATGGAAACTACTTTGGAAATGGCTATCAGTACCAAGCTACATATCTTCACTAGTTAACTGAGTTATGAGCAGAAGATAATGATCCTTTTGTTTAATATATCTAGTATTAACCTTTTTAAGATGTTGTATGTTGTACTTTTAAAATGTAGACTTTAAGAATCACTAAAACAAAAATGGTAAAATGTCATGTTAATGTTTTAACTTTTGTACTAGAAGGTATTCTGATCCTCTAATGTATGAATTCTGTTCTTGTTTTGTACAAACTTATCTTAATGTTGTCTTTGTAGTATGTTTATCTTGTCTTAGATCTGAGGCTGTCTTTTAATTTATTTTGTTATCCAACTTTCTTGATTGCCTCTGTTGGATAAATTTGGTTGATTTATTAGTTCTATTTTGAAGACTCAAAAATATCATTTCTTTCTAAGATCATGTCTATGAGAATGTGCATAAGAGCCTACAACATAGAATATCACATTTTATGATGATTAAGTGTAGGTTAAAAATGCCTCCATTCACATTTGTCATGGTTAAATAAGATCTTGTAAATTTTGTCATGGTTTAACTATGGTGTGTTTTGCTATAGGCAATTTATATAAGTCGTAAATAAATTATTTATCTAAACAATCCATTATTTAAAAGAAATAAATTGAAACTAAAATTATCTTCTAAACTTCATAGATGAACTCGATATACAAATAAAAAAATTAGGTAATGATGAAAAATAATTATTTTATTTAGTATTGTCAAACTAGACTACTCCATCATAAAGAGGCCGATTTTAGTAGGTTTGGATTTTTTTAGGGATACACCAAAAGAGTCTATTTTTATTATGTGTTCGAAAATTACTACCTGAATCTGTCTTAAACGAGCTTCGTGCTATTCGGCCTTAAACGAATTTTTTTTAATTGAAAAAAATGTCAAAATATTTATTATAAATAAAATTAAAAATTATATTATTTTAAACATAGTACATTTTAAAGTAATATATTATCTTTTATAAATACTATAATGTGTTTTTAAATACAATACATGTTTAAATTGTATAAAATAATATTCAAATATTTAACATAAGAGAAACTAATAGAATACGAAAAAAGAGTGTTGATTATATTAATGTATAATATTTAAAAGAGAAAGATTGATAAACTAGAGATAAAATTTAGTGATGTGAGAAAAATCAATGTGTTATTTTGAAGTATGACAATATAAATATTAATATAATTTTTTAAAATTTATAGCAATGTGAGTCTAATGGGCTACCCGCGACCCATATGGACTAGCCCTAATTTTTTAAGATTGGGCTAAAAAGGCCTTGAAAAATATGAATTCTAATTTTGAGAATTTCTAACCCCGGGTTCTTAGGCACCACGTGTGCTTCCAAAAATACCCTCTGCTTCCGGAGATGTATCTCCGGACGCACCTTTTTTTTCACTCAATGTTGGTTTTTTCGGAGCTACATCAACGGAATGTTTCCGTTTATATAGTTCCGGGACAAATCAGAATACATTCGCACCAGAGTCCCTTCACCTCCCTCATTCTTCATTTTTCAACTACTCACTCTAAAACTCTCCAAATCTCTCAACCCTAAAAAAAAAAATTCCACCAAACTGAATTGTTTTCAATCAAGTTCGACAATGAGCATTCATCTCAACTACCAAGACACTCCATCTCATTCGAAGCTCGATATAATCGGTAAGTTTTCGAGTTTCTGAGATATTTTTGAGTATTTCCCGTAAACGAGTTAGAATATAGTTTTAGGGGTAGAAATTGTTAGATAGTTTTAGAAACATAATTTAAAGACAATGTTGGTATTGTTTGTTGGCTGAAATGGACGATCAAGAGTTGAAAAAACCGGTTATTTTGGGTGGGGGACACCATTGACGTTGTTGTTGGAGTTGTAGGAAGTTCCAGAGCTACATCTACGGAACAAATTAACGTTACGCCAATTTCGTAGATGCAGCTCCGGAACAAATCAAACATTGTGAATTTTGGGTACTTCCATAGATACATCTCCATAACAACTATAACTTTTTGAATTCTGGGTTTTTCTGTACGTATACATCCGAAAGTAAAAAAATGTTTATTTTATTTTAATTTTTGGTTTTTTAATTTATTTGTATCTAATTGTTTTTTATTGGTTATACCTTGCAGACATTATGGCAGACAGAGAAGATAGATTGTGACTTGGACGGGTTTCACAACATGCATCTGTGAGCGGAGCCATGCCACTGTTATCGAAGCTGATACATTTGAGACGCATCTTTCTTCATCACATGCCCAGGACATTACCTCGACCTCGTATCTCACCCCCATCATCCACTTCTTCATTCTGAAGGCGTCAGAATTTAGCTGAGGGTTCACCACAAGCCCCATCCTCCCGCAGGCCTCGTCAGGATACTCCTGATTCTCCTCCTGATGTTGATCTGGTACCACCTCCAGAAGGTGATGACCCACCACCGGAGGATGCTGGTGACGACGACGATGATAAGCCTGAGGGTTTTCCGAGGGTGCCTCATATATGTCCCTACTGACAGGGTACGCCAACCATACTGCCATATATGTTTGAGATGGAGAGGTAACATTACTCATATTATTTTTTTAATTGGAAATTTATAATTTGTACCATTGTTTCTTATTAACATTTTTTCTTATTTATGAAAATTTTCAAATTTGTCCTCCGCGGAAGTTCTATAACCACGGGTAGAAGATATTATCTTTAGAGCAGCCACATGAGGCTTGATTCCAGGATATCCTTGCCTCCTCTGGTTTGAAGGACCTTTGTGAGATCGGTTACAACGTGATCCACAACGGGATGTTGATGGGCTTTGCAGAGAGATGACACCATGAGACGTCCTCCTTCCATCTACCGCACGACGAGCTCACGATCACACTGGAAGACATCTCCTGTTTGCTGCATATACCGATCAGGGGTACCCTCATCTGTCACGGTAGAATGACGAAGGAGGATGCGAGAGAGATGTTAGTAGACGAGCTTGGGGCTGATCCACTGGATGCGCTGGAGGAAGTGGATAAGACCAGAGGGGCTCATGTCAGGTTCTCCTTTCTCACCCATAGATTTGGTGAGACGCTCGTTGCCGCACGTCATCTGAGGTTGAGATACACAGACAGCGTGTGCTGAGATATTATTTTCTATTTTTAGTCGGCACTCAGCTGTTTGTGGACACTTCCTTCACATATACGGATGTCGCTTACATGAGGTACTTTTTGAATTCCAAACGGATCCATGAGTACAACTAGGGGGCGGCTACCCTGGCTTACATATATTTTAGGCTGGGAGAGGAATGTCTGTGGAAGACCAGGACTATGGCAGGGAGTGTGGCACTACTTGTGGTAACAATCTTATATCCTTCGCCTTTTTTTCATTTCTTTTCATTCTATATTCGAGAAAATGCTTGATCTTGATGTTTTTTATTTTCATTTTAGGCTTGAATATTCTAGCATTTTTCCATGATCACTGAGTGGGGGAGTGTACCTGATTACACAGAGCAGATATTGCGTGTCCGTGCCTTTCTTTCTCTTAGGGAGAATCAAGCGGTCGACCCTAACAGAGTATATCTCGATCGCCTGACTGCCGAGGACATCTGGTACGACGTCTATGTTGATCACCGTGTGACACTTCCGTTTGACAACATCTCCCTATTCTTAGGATGGTTGGCATGCAGTTCGAGCATCATTGTTTCATATTTTCCTGAGCGCGTCATGCGGCAGTTAGGCTACACTCAGACCATTCCTAGACACCCGGTTGTCTTCTCCCCTATTGGCTTGACCTACATGCAGATAAACAAGATCTATACCGACTACCAGAGGCACATGGTACCTGACGAGGCTCGGACGACCAGAGCGCCGACAAATTGGAGTTGCATTGATGGTTATATCATGTGGTTCTTCACCGTGTCACACCCCTACATGGTGCCCACTGCCGAGGGATCACCACCCATACTAGCTCATCAAGAGATCTTAGAGGAGAAACAATCTCAGTTGGACCACACTCGGGATGTCGTGCCTCGCTGTCGTGAGATAGTGGAGATGGGACGAGCATGCATTGTCGTCGCTTTCTTCCCTGAGGGGTCTGACCACAGGCGTATATTGGAAGACATCATTGCGGTGGCAGCATGGGCACTGATGTACCACAGTCATCACGCCAGGACAGGTGGGATCGATGGCCAAGGACGTAAACCGAACGATCGAGGAGGTGGGAGAGGCAGACGAGGCGGCAGAGACAAGGCAGTCAGACACACAGTAGTGATTGTCATATTTTTTTGATGTACTATATTTTTGATGACATTGATGTACTATATATATATATATATATATATATATATATATATATATATATATATATATATATATATATATATATATATATATATATATATATATATATATATATATATATATATATATATATATATATATATATATATATATATATATATATATCATATTATTTTATTTACGGATGTATATCATTTTATATTCATCTGCAACAGTTAATTTTCATCTACGACCAACAATGCTTGACTTTTTATAAAAAAAATATGTTTTGATAAGATTTCGGAGTTGCATCTCCGAAACTTTTTTCGTAGATGTATATCCGGAAGCATCCAGTGTAAAGAAAAAAAAGGGTGCGTCTGGATGTGTATCTCCAGAAGCAGGGAGCATAAAAGGAACTCTCCTAATTTTAAGACTCAAGTCCTATGATTTTTCGGATCTGGCGAATCGGCCCATATGGGCTAACCCACTTTGACAACTCTACTTTTACCTCCAATAATATTTAATTTAAAATATTTTAGTAAATTTAGTTAATATTTTACTAAAAAAAACAAAAAGGTTTTACTATATTAGGTGAGATAGACTACATAGATCAAATTACACTATAAATTTTATCAAATACCATCTTTCTATTCAATTCATCTATCTCGAGATCATTCTTAATAGTTTCTCATATAACTTTTTAGGTATTTCTCTACCTGTTGTTTGAATATCCATGTCTTTTTTCTATATGTTGAAACAACTTAAGACTATTTTTACC